TGACGTTTAATGTGTATCGTCTAGACAATCAAACTAGAGAAAAAAATTGTGGATTATGAATGTGATGCACCTAACGTGTGACTAGTATCTAGCATTATAGAAATGTATATTTAAGTTGAACCAGTTGATTTGTTTCACTTTCTTACCTCCAAATTTTCGTTAATCCTTATACATATAGATTAAAATATCTCAATCATATTATGGAATCCAGAACGTTTTCAAAAATAATTTGATAAAGTTTTGATATTACACATTTTATGACTTTTAATTCTCTTTCCTCAATAAATAATAGAGTAAATTTTTTTTCTTCAGTAAAACTGATATTCTACATTTAAATTTCCATTAGGGGCGTGCTATCCACACACCAGCACATCCCATTTTACTTCTCACACATCCCTTGATAATTTTTGTTCGTTGATCTTCATCAATTCATTCGATCCGAATTTCGAAAATAAAAAAGATGTATGAGAAGTAAAATGAAGTGTGTGGATATCACATCCCTTTCCATTATGAGGATGAAATAGGGGTCAAACTCGAAAATCATAAAATTAAAGAAAAAAATCATAATCACAAAAATTATTCGCTACTTCCATGTGAGATTCACAATTTTCTCATTATTCGCTGCAATTGCTTGAGATTGAGAATTGCTCGAATCCTTTGAAATAAAAAAAACTCCCTAATCCCAATCTGAAGCCCCAAAATTTTCGAAATGCAAAGTTTCAATCTTTGTCAAAATTCAAACCCTTTTGGCAGAACACCAAAAACCAAAAGAACGGGTGAAATAGGTTACTCATTAAAAATGTTAAGTTTGACTGACCCATTAATTTAATAGGTTAAGTTTAAGTGACCTGTAACTTAACTGATCGGGTCAAACCTGATCAAAATTTAATAAAACCAATCCGTTTACAAATCTAGTTACAACAATTGTGAACACGATCGTATTAATTGCCAATTTTTTATTTTTAGAACTTTCGGTGTATATTGCATCGTAGTTTCTATATTTGATTTAACACCCACGGACGACGACACACCTGAATTGTCGCTATCCACATTCCTAACTTCAAATTTAGTTTTGGTTTTACTAGTCGCCCAAATCTTTAATCAAACCAATTAACAGGTTTAAACTTAAATTCAAATCAAGATCGCGGGCCCCACAAGCCAACGAGCAAAATAAGGAAAGAGTCCACACGATAATCACATGAAAGCGGCCGCTTCTGATTTTTCCTCCGGAGTGGAGATTACTATTATACCATTACCCAAACACTGAGAATAGTTTCCAGAAGAAGCCAAGTGCAGTCGGATTTCAAAGTCCGCCCTCTCATACATTTCCACAGAGAGGTTGTTGCGAGAAAAATCGCTCCTCTACGACGCTGTCTACGGTTAACCGCGCTGACGTGGCAGAGCTCAGCCGTTGATTTCCGGGTGGTTTAGTTGATGGGCCAGTCAGCTTCGGCGGCCGCCAATTCAAGCCGCCGTGAGAGCAACAACCGCATCCATCGATCCAAGTCCAAAGCAACGGCCGCGATCTCCCCGATGCTGCAGGCCGACGAGGAAGGCTTTGAGATCGTCGACTGTGCCACCGATTTCATCTCCGATCTTCCCGACGAGTGCTTGGCCTGCATATTCTACTCCCTCGGCTCCGGCGACCGGAAACGATGCTCTCTGGTCTGCCGACGGTGGTTGAGGATCGAGGGACAGAGCCGGCACCGTCTCTCCCTCCACGCACAATCGGATCTCCTCCCTATCATCCCTTCCCTCTTCTCCCGCTTCGACGCCGTCACCAAACTCGCCCTCAAATGCGACCGTAGATGCGTGAGCGTCGGCGACGAGGCGCTTGTCCTCATTTCTCTGCGATGCCGCAACCTCACGCGCCTAAAGCTCCGCGCGTGCCGCGAGTTGACAGACGCCGGGATGATGTCGTTCGCCAAAAACTGCAAAGGGTTGAAGAAGCTGTCGTGCGGGTCGTGCACGTTCGGAGCCAAAGGAATGAACGCCGTACTCGACAATTGCTCGGCTCTGGAAGAGTTATCGGTGAAGCGGCTTCGCGGCATCACCGATGGATCCGCGGCGGAGCCGATCGGGCCCGGTGTGGCTGCCGCGTCGCTCAAAACGATTTGCCTCAAAGAGCTCTACAATGGACAGTGCTTTGGTCCTCTGATAATCGGCGCGAAGAAACTGAGGACTCTGAAGCTCTTCAGGTGCTCCGGCGATTGGGACAAGCTCCTCCAAGTGATATCTGAGCGAGTGACCTCCATGGTTGAGATCCATCTCGAAAAGCTTCAGGTTAGCGACGTTGGCCTCACCGCCATCTCCAATTGCTTGGATCTGGAGATTCTGCACCTGGTCAAGACCCCTGAGTGCACCAATGTAGGATTGGTTTCCGTCGCCGAACGCTGCAAGCTGCTAAGGAAGCTTCACATTGACGGATGGAAGGCTAATCGAGTAGGCGACGAGGGTTTGGTCTCGGTAGCAAAGAATTGTGCTAACCTTCAGGAATTGGTGCTCATTGGTGTTAATCCAACAAAAGTGAGCTTGGAGGCATTAGCTTCGAATTGCCCCAATCTCGAAAGATTGGCATTGTGCGGAAGCGATACCGTGGGCGATGTCGAGATTTCGTGCATTGCTGTGAAATGCGTGGCGTTGAAGAAGCTCTGCATTAAGGGCTGTCCCGTCTCGGACATCGGCCTCGAAGCATTGGCCAGTGGTTGCCCTAACATGGTGAAAGTGAAACTCAAGAAATGCAGAGGAGTAACAGCAGAGGGAGCTGATTGGTTGAGGGCGAGCAGGCCTTTATTGGCCGTGAATTTGGATACAGGTGAAACGATCCAAGAGGCCGCCATTGATACCTCCGTTGCGGCCCACGATAATTCCGTCGAGTTCCCGCCGTTGGCCATCCAACCGGCGTTTCCGGACATTGCCTCAAGCAGTGCTGGGCGGCCGACCTTTAAGTCAAGGTTAGGGCTTTTGACGGGGAGGGGTTTTGTGGCTTGCACTCTGAGAAGGTGGGCGTCGAATCGGAATAATAGTTAAGTGTTGTTCAAATTGAACCATACAGCAAAACCTCCCCATGTTCATTGTTCACTTTTTTGCTGCATTATTTGGATTCTGACCTTTTTTTTATGTACTTAATTTGATGTTTGTGTGCTGTTTATTGCCTTCTCTCAATCGAATTTTCATACTTCTTTTAATTTGCTTTTATGTTCCCATTTGATTTGTGTATAAGGTTTTGGTCTTTGTTGGGTAATATTTGGGTACAAGCGATGTCGGGAGGGAAAATCGAACTTAGGGCCTTGGGTGTGACGAGTGAGTGTCTCTTGATTAACTGAGCTGGTCTGTTTGATCTTTTCTCCTTTTGTGACTAGCCGGTAAAACCCGGCTACAAGCAGTGCGTGCAAAAAAATTTAGTTTATTGGCATTTCGTCGATCATTTGGTAGGATTGTTGTTGTCAGCCAAACCATTACATATGCGGAAGCAAGTTGATGAGTGCTCTTGACTCAACCTGCCAAGTGCTGTTAAAATATATCCAGTAGGCGTTACATTAAACATTTGATGGGTACAAAAAGAACTCATATCAATCATTCAAGGGGTTCTCGGAAGACCTTCACATGATTCTCTCACAAACCGGATAAAGGAATGTAGCCGACTACAAGGTAGATTCTCTTGGATATCAGGCATGCACGTAACTTGTGTGTTACTTCACTTGTGTCATAGGTGTTGGGTTGGAAGATATTGACACATATTTATCCAAACCAAAACCAAAAATATTGTATTAGGTGAGAAAGGCCAGTTTAGGCTATTTGATTGCAACAATCTTGCCGGTTGCTTTCTGCAGCAAGCAGGCTAAGGGGGGGGGTTTGTGTGACAAGGTTTCTTCCATGTAAGATTATTTGAAACCATACGCATACTGGTTATAGCCAAGGTTCTAAAAATCGCTAGGCGCTAGTCGGGCGACGGGCTGGGGCCTAGCGCCTAGGCGGCTAGGCGGGGCCTAGGAGGGAGCCTAGGCAGACTAGGTGGATTTAAGTAAATCTATCATATTTAAGGTAAATAAGTGTCTGCTTCTACTTGAAATATATATAATTTCATCATAAACTACAAAATAGAATGCATATATATCATGAAGTATTGGAACATAATAAAAACATGTGAAATAAGGATATAATGTTTGTTCATTCAAGTATGCAACAAGTCTCTTACAATTTATTGGAAAAAAACAAAATGCAAAATAAAAGTTATGTATTTTTTGTCTAAGTGAGTTGCAACCTAGGCGGGTCTAGGCGGGTGCCTAGGCGGGCTAGGCGGTCTAGGCGGTGGGCTGGGGCCTAGGCATTAATCGGGGCGGTGGGCTGGGGCCTAGCGCCTAGGCGGCGCTAGGCGGAAATTTTTAGAACAGTGGTTATAGCTGATAATTTCTCTAGGGAGAGGCTTTCCCGTTGCTTACGGGCAAGGACTCCAGAGCTTGACGACGACTCTCGCGTCGCCCAAACGATGGGAAATTCCTTTTCTATCCTTGAATTTGTAAACGATTCATGATTATTAACACAAGCCGTCATTAATCAAAACAAATCCAAAAGAAGTCTGGTCTAAAGCACAAGCATATAAAACGAGTAGTGACATGTAAAGATTAAAGTGAGAATGATAAAAGTAGTCGTTGTTCACTTTGAAAAAAAGGTTTTTTAGCCAAAATGATCTTTGAAATTTACATAACACATCACTTTGGTCTTTAAGATTTGAAATCAATAGAAGTAGTTCTTAAAATTGTCCACCCTCAATCATTTTGGTCATTCCGTCAAAATTATGTTAAATAAAAACCAAAATAACAAATATATCCTCAATTTAATAAATAATGAGTCAAAATGATTTGACCAAGAGTAAGGATATTTTGGTCATTTTATTCTTATTTAATGGAAAATTTTCACAGAAAAACCAATGTGATTGATGGTAGACAAACTAAGGAAATAGTTACACAAATCTCAAGGATAATTTTAGCTAAAAAGCATTGTAAAAAAGAAAAGGACAATCTGCCATAATTTCATGTTAATCTCAAAGTTTAGCATAAAGAAAAAGAAAAAAAAAAGAATACTAACAGTTTGATGGATAACGTCGTCTCCTTTCTACAAACTAATGGCTAACACCCTGTAAAAATATATATTACGAATTGGACGATGATTGCTCATTTCCTTCCTTGAGCACAATTGCAGTGTTTCGCTGACTTCCTTGCTGGAACTGTTGGTATCTTTAACCGAAGCAAACCTACCCATATCTCGGCTTCAGTTTTCTACTCCGTTTTCTTTCCCTTCCCAGCACGCGGCTTTTGCTTTTGGTACATCAGTATCTGACTAAGGAGGGTAAAATTCGTTGCGATGCCAATCACAGAGCCCAACAGAACTAGTAGAGGATTAAGGAGAAGCAAATGAACGAATACATATGTGCACATTTAGTGTCTACTTTTGGTGATGCAAACAAACACTAGTCATGATCATCTTTGACGGGGAGCTCAATTTTGTCGGTCATTTCAGGGGAACGAGAAAGAAACTAGCGGTAACTAGGTTCTGAGGGAACCCAATCAAGATGCGCGAACATGAGAACTTGCTACTTCTACACAGACTAGGACTATGAAAACAATAATAATTTTTTTGCTGAATTATATTTCAATAAAAACGCAACTTATCTGACAGACATGAAAAAAGGATACCACTTTTCGGTGCTTGTTCTTGGATGCTGGTGAAAACTCTCACTGCAAAAGAACGTTAAGAACCCTGTGAGTATGCCAATATATCAATTATATTCTACGCCTATAGCCCTACTAATATGTCTAACATACCCATGGAACCTGCAAAATTCATTAAGTTCGTTAAGAAGCTCAGCTGCCCTGTACTTTTATTCTGCGCAAGAAATTGTTAAGTAGCATCAGAAAAATAGCTAAAACAGGTTGAGATTACCGAAAGAACTGAATATTGATATAGTAGGAGATTAAACTGGTTGCCATGCCAGAGATCGTGCAAACTCAGAATTACAACTTCGGGCAAGCAGTCAAACCATCCATGCTCACATCAACAAAGAGTACTAGACTAACGTCTAAATTAAATCCCACTTACAGAGAAGTTCGCCCATATCTGTGGGATCTTGGCACTGAGAAAGATTGCATGCTGGGATGCCTGTATCAGATTGTTTCCACATCAGTACATCTATGCATAAAGAACCATATAGATAAGAGAAAAGATTATATTTACGCATAAAAAAAGCTGAGTACAGAAATGAATACAAGGCAAGGGAAGGAAGGAAAAGTGCTTGTCATCCCAATAGTTTATAGGCTAGGGCGCCTTTGAAATCAGCTACTTACATATAGAGCCTCAAAGAGAACAGGATCAATCTGGCCAGCTAATATGGTTGGTGCTACAGCACAATATCTGGAAAACCATAATATTAAGGAAGAAGTTGACCACATTTCTCCCTTACAGAGTGAGAGATTAGGAGAAAAAAAAAACGAAGGCTGAACTGATTCTCAAGAAAGGATACAGTAACGCTGTGATCATTGTTCTGGTACTCATAGGTCGGGAGTAATAATAGATAATGGCAATCAATATGAGAGCTGTAAAAGAGAAACATAAAACAAATTGTGTTAGATCCTGTGTGAGTGCTATAAATTAGTTCATCCTAATGCCATAAAATTGAAGTCAAAATGCCCAACAAATTTACCAAGAGTTGAGATCTATACGTGTCAAAATCATCATAAAGGTATAATCAACAAACCACAACTCTTTGTTTGCCACAAAACTAAAAGTTCAATCACATATGGCTAATCTGATAAAACTAACTATACCGTCAAAATCACGCTTCTGTACCTCTACTTTCACTCTCATATCTATATGAAGCAATCCCCTGGTATACGTTTATTGACAGAAAAGTACAAGAAGCCTTTGACATACCTTGGATCAAAAGAAAGGCCAATTCCCCATAAGCAGAGAACGGCAGCCCTTTATGAAGGCAATACGCCAGAGCAATGGTGTAACCAACTACTTCAAGCTCAAAAGAGATAATACTAAGACCTCTGACACTTCCATGTTGCAAAATTTTTATTATCTGCAATCAAAGAACAAAAGCACCATACCGTGTACAATGTCAAAAATAAATTCAAAAGACTACATAACACGGTGCAAAGCTTTTCAACACGAGGACACAATACGGCGATGGCACATAATTATTTAATTAACAAGAAATTCATAATCATTTTTAAACTTAAACATAAAGAGGAAGAGTCTGTTCCTTCCAACAGTTTATATCCCATAAATCGTCCATAATCGAATTTGAAGGATATGCGGGAATTAAACTACCGGTTTCGAGGAGTGGCAATTTAACAATGACTTTGAATTGAAAGAGAAAGAAAAAATTCTATTCCTTCCAACAGTTCGGATTCCATAACACTTTATCAATAAAACTTCAAGGATCTGCGGGCATTAAACAACTGGTATCGAGTTTAAACCGTCGAAATTTAACAGCGAATTGAGTGATTGAACATAAAACACACAGCCTAGTGACTTAATGGGTCAGCAAAAAAGGCAAAAAATCTAGAAAACTCAAATATTTAGATAATTTTCTGGGAAAAAGGAGTTGGGTTTTAGTTCAAAATCCAACAATTTCAAATCTTTTACCAAAAAAATAACTAAACAAACACTAATTGAGACCATAAAATCCTTTTTTAACCCATCAATCGATGGTGCCCATATCAGAGATCTGCCTTCTGTTCTTATAAAATACAACAATTTCAACAGAGATTGTGAAACGAAAACAAAAGGTGATTGCTTTAAGTAATTAACGATGATAGGCGAAAAGCAAAGGGAGGAGAAAGAACGTGCCTGAGGGAGTTTGACGGTGGTGGAAGCGGCGACGATGGCGTAGCCGAGGAGCTTGGAAATAAGGGGCAGCAAGCAATCTTTGTCGGGGAAGTGGCCGTCGCCGAGGGCCCCCAAGGCGCAGCTGAAATCGATTCCTAGGACCTTCATCGCTGCGTCAAATCAATGGAGATCCTTTGCTGTTTTTTTACTCCTCCAAGACACGTACTTTGTATATGTCGAAGACCGAGAGCCCAGTTACGTTATAACTTTTTGGTGCTTTCAGTATTTTCACCGATGCGCGTACGCCAACCATTTTATGATTTTTCTCAAAATCTCAATTTTGGTAATTGCATTTTATTCAATTTACAATTAGTTTTTACAAAGTTCTATATAAAAAAAGTTCACATTGATTTGATATCGGAAATCAATTATGTTTATTGATCTTAATGCAGGTTTGATGTTATCAATTTTTCTTTTCTTTAATAACTAATTATTACAGACACGAAACACATTGAAAATGAAATATTAACAAGTTCTTTTTAGTTGGTACTATCGTACCAAGGTTGGTCTTGAGGGTAGCTGAATTAGGCACCTACCTAGACCCCTAATATTTTTTAGGAAATTGTTATTAGCATTTCAAAATCTCATTATACACTCTAAACTTTCTATATTAGGAAAAAAAATACAATTGTGAGAGATGTAGAATAAGATTTTTGAAGTGCCAATAACACTTCCCTATTTTTTAAATATATATATATTACTACAATCCAAATTTACTAAAAATATTAAAAATTAAAATCATAAGCAATTAAAAAAAATTGGTTGAAAATTAGATTATGTAAACTTAAGAGTAAATTACACTTTACCACATCAGATTTGAGGTTTATTGCAACTTCATACAATATCTTTAAAACATTTTACTTTTATACCTTAAGTACTATTTTATTTCAATATACTACATCCGTTACATATTTCATCAATTTATCCATTAAAAACTAAAACTGCCAAATTTGTATCACTTGCAAAAAAAAAAATCTTATACATTAAAAATATTATAATAATTTACCCAATTGAAAAATAAAAAACAAAAACTGAAAACCCAGAAACGCATCCCCTGACCACATCTCTCTCCTCCACTCTCTTCACCTCCCCTCCCATCCAAAAACCCACCCCACCCCACCCCACCCGCCCCGCAAGATTAAAATCAAAATTAGAAAAATTGGCAATTAAGAAGATTTTACTCTGGAATTGGGTTCTTGGGTCTTGTGACAATTATGCCGGAACGCCGAGCGAGGGAGTGGTGGTGGTTGGAGATGTTGGAATTGGCGGGAAAGGGAGGAGGGGGGTCGGAGGGAAGTGAAGGGATGAAGAGAAATGGGGTTTATTGGGGAAAGAAGAGAGCGTGAAGGGGTGATGGTTTATGCTGACGACCGACATGGAGACAACATTGACGACGCCCATACAGAGCTCCATAGTTCCTGGTTTCGTTCTGAGCTTACTAGCTTGAAAGATAGAGGGCAAAACTGGGATGGGGGGTTGCGGGGGAAGTGGGGGAAGTGGGGGTGGGGTGGGATGGTGTGGGTTTTTGGATGGGAGGGGAGGGGAGGTGAAGAGAGTGGAGGAGAGGGAGGGGGTCGGGGGAATGGGTTTTTGCGTCTTCAGGTTTTTTTTTTTTTTGGGTAAATTATTATTATATTTTTAATGTATAAAAAACTTTTTTTTTTGTCATGTGGCAGAATTTTGGTAGTCACGTCAGCTCTTAACAGATCAATGGATGGAAAATGTAGCGGATGTATTATATTGAAATAAAATAGTACTTGAGATATGAAAGTGAAATGTTTTAAAGATGTTGTATGCGATTACAATAAACCTCAAACCTGAGGTGGTAAAGCGTAATTTACCCTAAACTTAATTAATACATTTGCGTCCGAAAACTCAAGACGTGTATTATTTATGTAATTTTTGTATATCATCCTTCTTTTGATATTAATTTTTAATCATATTTGATGTAGAAATAGATTTTTCATGTATTTAGCGATTTTTTTTATACAGATCAATGTACGAAGAATCATAGGTCAAATAAATCTAGGGCCCCACTTTGAAGGCCGCCTAGGACCCCCAAAGTCTCAAGGCCACCTTTGGTAGGTACAACGATATTTTAGACGAAAATTTGAGCTAAGTTAGACGATCAATCAATTACAATAATAACCTTTCAAACTTGTCATTCTGTAAGTATAAGAGAATCCAATTAGGATATATTGGGTTAGGTTAAGAAATAAAGGCTCTAAAGAAAAACGACACTTGGAAACTAATCACGTTACTAAGAGGCAAACATACGATTGGATGCAGGTGGGTCCCTGAAACACAAAGCTGGTGGCTCCATCGAGAAGGCTTATATTGTAGCACAAAATACTTGGCTCATTCTCATTACAGACAAATCATAAATTCATACGTGTGTATAACCTTTTATTTTGTAATTTTAATAATTTTGACATATATACCTAAGGTTTTTAATCTCTAACGTTGTTTGAGGCCACCAATTGACCCCCCCCCTTTTTATTAAAAAAAAAGAATGAAAAATTAACTCAGACGAAAGGTGTTGATTAAAATAGAGAACTCCAAATTCGAGTTTTTTTTTTTTTTAACAAAATATATTATTTACACTAAAGAAGATTGAGTGAGTTTAGCTTTATAATGAGTTAGTAATAATGTAGTTCAAATTTGTCTTTGACAATAATTGAACCTAAAACCTTTCATTTACAAGTAAAAATGAATATTACTATACTGTAATATTAAATGACCAAACTCCGAGATTTTAACATACAAATAAAATCCTAGTTTAGTGTAAAACACATCAAAGTTTCATTTCCTAATCATTATGGCTGGCAGGTGTCATGTGATGCCATCCCAACTTGAGATTGGGCTTTTTATTTTCTGTGGGTTCATAAGTTTAATTGTCTTGTTAGGGCTTCGAAACTTACATACAACAAGAATTTCATGTGGGGAAATCCGAGCCAGCAACGAATTATCATCAAGGTTCTAAAAAATGTTAAGTGCTAATCGGCAGCGGGTTGGGGCCTAGCGTCTAGACGGTTAGGCGGACTAGGTAGATTTAAATAAATAGATTATATTTTGTGTAAATACGTGTCTCTTTATACTTAAAATAAATAATTACAACATAAACTACAAAATAGAATAACATATATATATTATGAAGTATTGGAAGATAATGAAAATATGAGGAATAAGCATATAATGTTTGTTTGTGTAAGTATTCAACGAGTCTCTTACAATTTATTGAAAAAAATAAAATGCAAAATGAAAGTTATCTATTTTCTGTCTAAGTGAGTCGCAACCTAAGCAGGTCTGGGCAGGCTAGGAGAGTGCCTAGGAAGTCTAGTCGGGCGCCGTAGTAGGTCTAAGTGTCATTTCTTAATTTTCAAACGCCTATGCATTAATCAGGGCAGTGACCAGCCGCCTAACGTCTAGGCAGAGATTTTTAGAATAGTGATTATCATACGTTTCAACTTTTATTTTTTTCCACGAATTTGTGTTTTCTCCTTATTTCTCATGAATGTTCATGCCTTTTTAGACCATCAATTTCTATGAGAGATATTTTTAAGTACCAAGTATTAAAGTGATACCTTAAATATCATAATACAAGTGAAGAAAATAATATATATTTTTCGTATTTCTCAACTTATCTTATAACACATAAGTACCCACTTGAATACGAACTGACATTTCGAATTTTTCTTTCCATTTCTCTGTGGTATATAAATGCTTGATTATTTTCTGATCCATCATTTTCTGGGGAGGATGGGTGAATTGGAAAGTCACAAATGTGGACTGTCAAAAATTAGGTAGTGCGAGTTACAAATAAGTTGTTGGGAAAGTTGAAGGATTTTTCATTGGAGTCAACACATTGGGCCATTCCACAATGTAACCATTCACTTGGCTTCACTTCGTCTAGTCTAGCAGTGTTGCTGGACCTTCTGCTATAATTTTGACCTTGAATAACATGATGAAGGTTAAAAGTAAAAACACAAAAAAAAAAAAAAAAAACCTTTCCAGAGATTCTGTAAATACTGTGTTTGGAGTCGACGAACTAGAAAGTTTGGACCGCACAATCTAAATCTCCGGCCCTCGTTAGCCCATCACACTGACCCACTGTACACAAAATCAAGCCCTTAACGGCCTAGATCTATCATTCTTTCTTGAATGGCCCAAATTTTCGAATCTGTCAGCACATAGATTTGAAGAAGATGTCAACTCCAATTGATAAATACTGACCAAATGCTAATTTCTTGCAAATCCCATCACGAACAGGCAACCCAGGGTGTACATGCTTTGTGTACCCAAGTTGGCAGGTGGTCCAGATTTACGTCTACAGTAAGGGCGATCATGACACATATCATGTTTAGTGATTGAGATTGGAGGAACACTAATCCAGTGTTGTGTTTAGTGATACACAAGACAAAGGAGTTTGGATTAGTTGAAATATACTATTTCGAGTTTGATTTTCTTCATTATGGATTTAGGGTGCCGAGATCACTGGGTCTGTTCTCTTGAGTGTCAGAGTACTGGGTTTGGATTTCGTGTCTAAGGTCTCAAGCACAAATTAGAGTAGTGAATTTGAAGCATCTCAAGTTTTCACAGGATAAATAATCCTATGTAAATGCACATGATAGGATTAGGGTGAGATTATTTTTGGATTGGTAATCCAATCCTACGACTTATCCAACCCCCAAACGAAGACTCAAGTTAAAAAAAAAACGTTTAAAGCTGATTAAACATGCATGCGTATCGCCGTTGCAGACGAGGGGCCATTAGAAGGACAAAGTTTGGTGCCATTTATTTGATGAAAGTGGAAACCAGTAGGGATTTGAGGACCACTGCAAAAAACAATAGACAAAACCATTAAGGCAAGGTGAGCTGTTAAACACTGCTCAGCGTTCAGGACAAATCAAGGATTGCTGTTGTAAGCTTCCCAGTGTTCTAAAAAAGGGCCTAGGTGCTGGGCTATGGTCGTGACCCGAGGCATTTTCTTGTAAATCGGTTGGGCTTGAGGCGGCCCTAAGTAGGCTAGGCAGTGCTAGGCGGCTAGGTGATCTTTTTTTTTTTTTTTGAAATTAAAAAAAAATCTTATCTAAGTCTAAGTGTCGTGCCCAGCAACTCTTACCCTAATTTCACAAACAAAACAGAAGTTGAGTTTGAGTCTGACATGGAGAGAGTCTTGGAGGGATATGGTGAAGAAGAGTTTGATGCCTAGCTTTG